AAGACGAATTGGTTGGTCACTGCGATAGGAATGAGCGGGGCAATACCGGGAGGCCTGCTCCCCCCCCCCCCCATGAGTTATTTCCCTGTTCCCTTAGATGTGATTTTTAGAGCAATTTGGACGCGGTGACGGGGCGACAGAGGCTGTTCATCAGTTTCACACGTAAACCGACGACCACGTGAGTGGTGGCGGTATTGAAGGGTGTCAAGCTGCGCCGTCGGCGGTACTGAACCGTAGAAAACAACGCGAAAATTGATTCCACAGCTTATTCACCACTGAAGCCATCCATTTGACCTTGACATAAGACGGCTTATGAACAAATAACAGCTCTTTTCAACGTGTCTGTTACCTATAATTGTGGCTAGGCTATTCTACTTAGCGTTTAGACGGCTCAAATATGAGGTTTCAAGTATATACTTACACAACTTTCTCAATAGACATATCAATAGCTGGAAGGACAGAGTAGGTGAAGGCTGGTGATCGGGGAGGTGCCCAGGGAGGCTTTCTTGAAAAAAAAATATAACCAGCGCTCTACGTCCACACAAATACTTGTTTCACTCCGAAATACACCACAAAAAATACGTGTGGATTCTAGTCTCCGGCATCCCATTTGTGGTACAACCAGGTAAAAGACGGAATCGAACCGTACTTTGAACCCGGTACCTTCCCTTCACACTGCATGTCATTTGAGACTTCCATGACCACTGAGACAGCAGTCCTTTATCTGAAATGCTGAGGGCGATGCGTGTGCGTGCTGACCTCCAGTCTTGGTAGCTTAATCGTGTAAAATACCCATTACTCTCGGTAAGAAGTCTCATACGGAGAGCAGAGTAAAGTCTGCCGCTTGTGCTGCACATCCTGGACACATGCTGCCGACAAAGCAGTCGTGAAAAGTGAATCCATACGTCATGGGAGACCCCCATTTATGAATGACCCCAGCGTATTTATACGACTTAAGGGCAGCGTGGATTGCTGGCCCCGGTTTTAAGTCTATAGTGGTCCGATCAGTCTTCGAGACCGCAGTGTGTCTATCTGCGAGTAAGGGTGGCCACGCCTGTGCTGATCGGCTGAGATGAAATGCAGACGGAAGAATGTTGCAGCTAAGATCTTGTATAGCATCTGCCAGGTGGCATTTGATGTTGGAGAAACAAAACGTGGTGTTCGTGACCGCATTAACACACGCTCAGCTGGGGGGGGGGGGGCAACTTGATCCCCACGAATATTTGTCAAAGAGGATTTTCAAACGGCGGGGTCGTATTGGCGCCAAATTTCGCGCACTTGTAGACAAATAAATAGTGAATCTTTTGATATCAAACATTTAAATGTGCCTGGTAACGTCGCTGACCTATGGCCGGACAAAATCAGGTTATGGGTTCAGGGAAGGCAATTTCCAGGGAATCGTTCAATCTGGTGCAACAGCGGAGTGTCAGACGAAGCCATTCAATCCTTGAAATGGCATTTCAGACATTCAATCTCTGCTATACCCTCTTAGGTAACAAAACAATTTAATTAACAAGTTTCATTGACCTAGGTTCAGGTATGAAGGTCGCATCAAGGCCAAAGCCGACTTATTTTTTTTGCGTGAGAGCTTGCTGTATAGGGTAGTTTCCGGTGCTCATTTTGAATTTATTGATAACAGGGATCGCATCATACATACTCCATGGACTTCTTAAAGGTCAGAAACGGTCACTGACCTAACATGACCGAGGTCAAAGCTTTGTTTTTAGGAAGATATCGTCTAGCGTAATCCTTGACGCTTATTGAGAGTCAAGAATAAAAAAGCACCCTTGTATGATTTTGGTCACCCTTCTGAAGGCTGAACAGGGTCACTGACCTTAGATAAGAACCAGTGACCTTTTGCTCAGGATGAGTGTCTAGGTTCACGGCGATTGTATGGGAAGGTCTGGGACATTTTGGACCTCAGTTAGAAGTTTGACCTTTTCAACCTATTTGACCCAAAAGTCACCATCCAGTAATCTTAATTTGACACAAATGAGTTGACACACAGGCCTACACGCCCTGTGAATTTGGCATCTCTAGTTTCCTTCTCTTTTGTTAATCTCGGGGGTCAAACTGACCCTTAACGCGAGCGAAGGATATTCAACCGGCCACCCGGACACGTGTTAACGAACACTTTTCGAGGCGCACGTTTTTACGAAAAGCGTATAGATCACTTCTTGAACACATGTTGACTTGGCACTGGTAGAGGGAGCATGGTGCAACAAATACCAGCTTCCGGGTAGAAAGTTTTGCATCAGAAAAATGCAACACGAATGTTTGGGTACTAGCATTGTTCCACATCTGAAATCTTCGTCCGATGCTGAGCATCCGATTGTCGTCTTGGAACTTGGTTTAAGCAACGTTGTTTAAGTTATGCATGTTTTGAAATAGCAATCTTTTAATCGTTGTGACGAACACCGCCGCGCGAGCGGCGGTGTTCGTAAGCGAACTTGATATCCTCGCTGCAGGTAAAGCTCCCTCGCTTCCGCAGTTCACCACCTCTCAGTCCGCCGGTGTTTGGGCAGCCCTTAGCCCGATACCGTGCGATTGGTGCCAGGACCTGTGGACCTGAGTAATTGGTGTCTTCGTGATGTTCGCGCAGTATTCTTGGAATGTGCAGCTATCCAACCTTACAGTCGGTGCCTCGTAAAAGCCTGGAGTCATCGGGAATTTAGAGCATTCAGCCTTCTCCTTCAAAGTTGTCGCATTTCGCAGTCTGTTTTGCACCAAATCCATATTTCATCTCGTAAAAACCAGGCAACATACGCAGACTGCTCTAACATACGGATGAAGTGGCTAGGAAAACACAACAGTGCTGTTCAAGTGATTAGATTAGACGGGGACCACACCACGATCTAATTTGATACCAAATGTTAGTATACGAGAACTGGGACAAACGGGAGTCCTACGCGTGAACTGTCAACAGATCAATCAGAATAGTCGGTAAATGTTACCCTGAGAGTGCTTTGTTTCATCATTATGCACTTGCTTATCATATCAACTTAAGTGTACTTGCTGACTCGGTTCTATGGAACCATATCCTCACCTTAAAATAGGGAATATATACATCATGACAAAACACCACTTCCCAAGCAGGACTCGCGGCTATTTTGATAGATCTAACGACAAACGATGGGTGTCGTACCTTTGCGCCCCATTTTTCGTGGATTTCACATTTGGCACCAACTTTGGTCTCTGTTCATTGAACAGGAGCCTTGGACAGTGCAGGACAAATAACAATAATGTGAAAACGGCCATTAAGTTCCTATAGGATACTATCGGGTCCAAAAAGAGTGGCCGTTCTTAATGGCCGTTTTCACTAGTGTGAAAACGGCCATTAAGTTCCTATGGGATACTATCGGGTCCAAAAAGAGCGTGAAGCCAATAGCAATGTGTTGAGGTACTCGTGCATTGACAGCTCAGGGACAGTTTCTGCATTTCCTTGCCTAGGATTTTCTCTATGTGCATGGGGGAGGAGAGTCAAGTCAGCATTAGGGATGGGGGGGGGGGGGGGAGACGAACACTTCCGGAAAACATATAAGCGACGCCCCTGGATAAAAATGTGTGTTTAAAGTCTCACAGTGTAGTCAGGCCGCTCTGGAGGCTATGCGTAGTGATGGGGAGTCACGCGTGCCACCTAAACCGCAAAACTTTTGGTGTGTGCTCACCAAGTATGTCGGAGTGGCGTGAACTTTCTTCCAAGATGTTGGGCGGCACATGTTGCATCAGCTGTGCATGGGGCTTGTTATATTCGTAATATAATGTAACGTCAATGACGTCATTGATTGATTTACTGTTAATGATGGACTTACATGATTGCCATGGTTTATTGTCTCCCGTACAATGCGCCGGCATTTCCAGTAATTACGTAGGTCCGTAATTCCTACCTGATGAGCCGAAATCCCTTCGGAATCTTCGGAAATCGCCACTTTGACAGCAGTTGTGAAATGAACACTGGCTGATAAAAAAGCAAGGTTTTTTGTTTGTTCCACTGCAATCACAAAGAATCACGAAATAGCAGAGACGAGAGCATTTTATTTATATATCATAGCACACCCAGCCTGCATGCAATGCAATTTATTCCATGCAGTAAAAAAATCCATAAACCCAGCCACCCCACCATGCCTACACTTACACCCCCACCATGCACCATGCCACTTTGAGACACGTTGCCTCATTTGAAAGGGGTGCATTGAGAAGCTATTTGCCAAAAAAAACAAGACGCGCTCTCCAAAACGTTCACTTCTATCGAGCTGTATGTTATAGCTGCCTGAAGATATAATGGTATCAGTCTCCTCCTCAGTAGTCACCTGTGAGGTAGCTAAGAGTAAAAGTTGGTACAACTCTCTGGGTACCGAGATTAAGATGTAACCCGCTAGGCTTATATCATTTGATTGCTCGATAAGCTTCACAAAATCCTACCCAGCCCAATCCGGTAACCATTCCATGTGATTTTCCATGGTTTTGCCCAACTCATGAAGCCGTCTGTTTATGTTCCGATGGAGGCATCCATCCTGAACTGTTTTTCTTTCTGAGCACCTTCTCACTTTTCATCATAATTTATACGAGCTATGTGAGACGAAGATAAGGAGAGGCCTGCTGCCTATTGCCTTTGTATACGTGCGGAACGGAGGCAGACTACGTGTTTTTGAAGTTACAGATAATTACAAGAAAGCTCTCTCATCTCTAAGAGGTTGCGAAGTCGTTTCGAAAATATTCTTGAAAGTTTCCGTGCAGCCTAAATGTTTGTCGCTTTTGCTGAGTGCTCATTTGCTGAGTGGTCCAGCTTGTAAATGTGAGAAGGAAGGCAATCGATGAAAAAAATCAGACTTGAAATTCCTTGGAGTCTTAGACAGCTGCATTTCCTGTTGACTACATGCTAGGCCCAGCATTTGTCTGCTGGCAACTTAAAGCTGCATCTTGTGCAGTCTTGGTGGCATGCGTAGGTGAAATTTACACTTCATGCATACCCCACCTTTATTGACTCTAGGTTGCGATACTGGTACGCTATCACAACATTTAAGTACTGTGATAGACAAGACTAAATTGTCATATTTATTGCCATGAAAACAGCTTTAAAACAAAATCATGATTATTACACCGTAGGGTACAAGTCAGTAGCTATCAACTGTAATCTTACTCATCAATCTACGCCGTTTTTTTTTACGTCGCTCTCAGTTGAACACCGCCCACCACTAAAAAGTAAGCAATTAAGTCAACCAAAGCACCTATGCGACAACAAGGCTTCGTCGGCATCTTTTGCAACACCCAGTTTTGCCAGTTACGGCCCAGTCTACAGTTCTAAACAATAAACAGCAGAAACAACCTTTCCAAGCGGCGTGTCTCGCCCTCCGCGCCTGGATGTTCCCATCGCTGTCGTCCGGATGCCACCGCTGCTGTCGTCCGGATGTCACCATCGCTGTCGTCCGGATGTCACCATCGCTGTCGTCCAGATGTTACCATCGCTGTCGTCCGGGTGTCACCATCGCTGTCGTCCGGATGTCCCCATCGCTGTCTTCCGGATGTCATCATCGCTGTCGTCCGGACATCACCACCGCTGTCGTCCGGATGTCACCATCGCTGTCGTCCGGATGTCACCACCGCTGTCGTCCGCTGATGGCGACCGGCCGGCCGTGGCGAACGAAGGCACGGCGGAGCTCAGCAGGCGGCGTTGCCGGCCGCCCGCCGGGCCCGGTACTTGCCGTAAATCACCTCGGCTATCTCGAACACGGTCAGGATGGAGGCCGAGCACGTCCAGCCCAGCGAGCCGCCGATGTCGCACACCATCTTCCATGTGCTGTAGCTGAACTCCTCGGCGCGCTGCTCGAAGAACAGGTGGTTGTAGAAGACGCGCGTGCGCGCCGTCGGTCGCTCGTACTTGATCTTGTCCACGATATGTTCGTAGTGGATATAGCGGCAGGAGGAGAGGCAGCTGCAGCGGCCGCCGGTCCAGTCGGCCAGCAGCCGCTCGAGCTGCTCCGTGGCGCGACCATACTCGGCCGGCGTGCTGCACGGCCGGGCCGCCGCGCCGGCCGCGAAGGGCAGCGCGCAGCCGGCGAGGCGCAGCAGCTCGGCCGCGAAGCAGTCCGCTTCGCAGCGGCTGAGCGCGTAGCCGGCGTCCGGGCGGCAGCGGTGTTGTGGTCGCGGAATGTTGATCACCTCCTCGAGCAACACCTCGGCGTCCGTGGCGCGGCCTGGCTCGGCCAGGAAGCCGCGGCTGTGCACGGCCACGCGCGGGTCGTCGCGCGCCTCGTGCAGCAGCAGCTGGAACCCCGGGCCGCCAAACACCTGCCTGAAGCGGCGGCGGCAGCGTTAGTCACGCGGTTAGACATTACACATGTTGAATAGTGCATTGCTGTTATGTGTTATGTTATGTTATGTTATGTTATGTTATGCTATGTTATGTTGTGTTATGCTGTTATGAACAGTGCATTGCTAAATGCATTGCTGTTAATCTCGCGCCAAATCGACCTTGGCGCACCGCACACACGGGCAGGAGCATGCATATCAATATAAAAAGGCCCGAGGGTATGGTGGAAGCTGACCTTAACGTTCCCGAGCCCATCCCTACTCCTCACCCCAGTCCCTTAAGGCTTAATGGGGTCCCTCGGCTTTGCATACACGTTTGTGTCTTGAACCGTGTGTGGACGAGTCTTAACCTTGTCCGGGTTAAGCTCCCCATTAGGCGACACGTGAGCGCTTGTAACCGGAGCTGGGGCAAGCAGGCCGCTCGCCCCACGCCGCCCACCTCTCTGACGGCTCCGGGTCCAGCAGCTGCAGGTACAGGTGGTTGTAGACACCCGTTTGCTTCATGCTGTTGTTGTTGTGGTACGTCCAGCAGATGCCGTCCACGGTGACCACCTCCCGCCAGTTGCCGACGTCGAAGCACTGTATGCCGCGGCCGAAGAAGCACTCTGGCTGCCCGTGCGGCGACTGGTCCAGCGCCAGCAGCCGGCGGAGCTGGTGCTGCGTCAGCCGCCACACGTCTGCCGCCGTCCGGTTACGGTGTCCGACCAGCGAGGCCAGCATGCGGCGGGCGTGTGCGGGCGCCGGCCGCTCCCGGTTGTACTCCGCCAGGCCGAACTCCTTCGGACCCCTGCCCGTCTCGCTCAGCATCTCGGCGAACAGGCGCTCGACGGCGCTCAGGTTGAAGGTGTTCTTGTTGCACAGCGTGAGGTCGGGGAAGTAGAGCGTGCGGTTGACCAGCAGCTTGACGTTCATCTGGATCGGGTTGGCGAAGAGGTAGCCGAGCCGCTCGTTGACGGAGTAAACGAGCGCGGCGACCGACAGCGCCAGCAGCAGCAGCCAGACGACGCGGCGCCAGGTACGCGCCGCCGGATCGCAGATGATACGGATCGCCGGCATGCTCACCTCCTCCCAGGACTCGTCCGGCTGCGGCGGGGGCGCCGGTGGGGCGGGGCCGGCGCCGCTGCCGCTCTGGCGACCGTCCGCGCGCGGTGCCGCACAGCTGAACGTCGACCGCACGCTGGGGAAACGCCCCAGGCGGTCCACTTCCGTCTCGAACACCTTCGAGCGCCCCATGTCGCTCATGCCTGTCGCAGGGCCAACGAACAAAACGCTGTGACCACAGTGTTGCAAGAACGTTAGACCAAGCGCGTGTGAGCGGGAACGGGCAGACCGACCATGGCCCCCAACATTTTGACAACGCATGGCAAGAATCAATTCCGAAACTGACGGTGCATTGGCCGCTCCGCCACCGC